AGAAAATCACCTCATGCTCTCCCTTAAATATACTTTCTAGTCTATCCCTACTCCTTGACAACTACATAGATGTGTCTACTAAACACAAATAGAAGTGAAATGCCACCATTGGCCACAAAATGAAAGGTGTTTTGGGGAATTACCTGTAGCAAAGGAAGTCAGAATAACAAAGACAAGTATTGGACTTTACATAGCAGATGATTTAACAAAGCAAAATACAAAAGTTAGCAGACACTTAAATAGAGTGAAGTTGCTGAGATTAAGAGAGTAGAAGAAGGAGGAAGGGCTAAAGGAACATAAGGAATAGCAGTGGGGGGAAAAGTAAAAGAAAGGCACATGATCAGGAATGACAACTGTAAGTCCTACTGAGAGACACAAACCAAGAGCGAAATAAATGAAAGGCCAGTTTATAATTCTGGAAAGAGATCCTTAATACGATGAATAAGCCAAATTTTATCAAATTACTACATGAATCATGCAATTGTAATCATTGTCTCAATGGTTTAAGTACTTAAAATTATTTTGAAGTTCAAAATAAATGTCTGAGAATAGAAAAACAAATCATTGCAACCAGAATAACATATTAGCTCAAGAATGGACAAACTGGCTCAAAAACTGGAATGGAAAATTCCAAAAACAGATCCTCATCATCCAAGTATTTATCAATCAAATGTCTTGGAATCCTTGAAATGATAAGATTGCAAAAAGTAAAAGATAAAAAGGACAAATAGACTATAACACACCTAAGGCCCTTTATATCCTGGATGACATTCTAAATCATTATATCCTGGATGACATTCTAAGTCAGCACATGTATACACTTACTTAATGCTTTAATGAGAACCCACGATTTCATCATAATTTGTTAAACTGGCCTCACCATATATGTAACAAAATGATTTCTTTAATAGATTTTTTTCAAACCACTGCAATACATATATTTATATATAACTTTTTCAAATGTGTGTTAATGCACTCTTAGGACCACTGGAATTTCTCTCTCAAAGGGCAAGTGGGTTTGTAAATGTAATAAACATTTCCAAATTATTGTACAAATTTTACAAGAGTAAAGTGCTTTTCCTTCCATATATCCATCAACAGTAATAAATATTTTCAAAATGTTGATGATCTCATGGGAAAATATGCCATGTGATTCTGCCTTATTTTGTTCAAAATGAATCAGGTTTGTGTTTTCCCCCTTGTTTCCCATTTGTTTTTATTTTCTTCAGGATTGCCTGCTTGAGTCTTTTGCCCATTCTTATATTTGATTTTTGCTTTCTGGATTGATGGAAAGAAGTTCTTTGTATATTGATGAAATTAGTCTTCCATCTGTCATAATTTTTTCAGTTTGCTATTTGTATTTTTACCTTACTTGTGATATTTTGCCATCAAAATTTTTAGATTTTATGTCCTTAGATTTATTTATCTTCTCATTTTTGGCTCACTTGTCATACTTAGGAGAAACTTGTTTTTAAGAATAAATTCATTTTAAGGATAAATCTGTTTCATCCAACTAATTATGAGCCACTAAATTGCCATTTATAAGTTGATCCATCTCAAACTCTGCATTCTACTCCTTTCATCTGCAAACTTTTCAGTCTCACAAATTATATTCAAGTATATTTTTACAAAATTTTTAGAAATAGTCAAATAATATCATGGAAGAAGTAAATATAACAACAATAAAAATAAATAATCTAAATGATAATAAACCTAAAAATACATGTGTATCTATATTTTCATATATTTATATCTAATCTATATCTTAGATGATATAGAGAGATAGAGACATAGAGAAAGAGGGACGGAGAGAACTTAAAACTTTTCAAGTCTTTTAAAGACCACAAAGGAAGACCCGAATAAATTGGAAAAAATAGTTTGTCCTTGGCTAGAAAGATAATATTTAAATGTGTCACATCTCCCTACATTATTAAATAATTGCAATTTAATCCCAATCAAACTACCAACAGGAGCTTTCCTTTCAATTTAACTAAATGCTACTAAAATTCATCTTTAAAAACGGTATGCCTTTTATTAATTGTTCCCTTAGCAGCACAAATAATTGGCAGAAGCTTTTGCACTAAGGGCCTAATTGACTTCTTAAATAAGGCCCTTTATGCATCCTAGTTTATGATGATGTGGTTTTATTCTTCTAGTTATGCAGAAACATAAACATTGTATCTTTATCTGCAATGTAAATCCATATATTCTATGTGGACCTGCTGCTAAGAAAATAGAATCCTCTCCCTCTGGCTAATAGCTATATCTTTTTTTCTGATCTAGAGCCACAGGACATTTTTTAAAGTCTAAATGCCACATCTCACCCTGCAATAAAATGCCACCCTATCATTTTTATTTAAAGTGCAAGATTCTCAAAAGAAAAAGCGTTAGTCGTTACTCTCAACCACTTTCCCTTTTGAAGGGGTTTGAGAAACAAAGGTTTAGAAGAGCAAAGCTTGCTCATATTCTGAAAAAATGTTCCCCTTTTCTCTCTTTTTCTCTCTCTTTCTTCACTTCTTTACCTGATCTTTTGTTTGTTTTTAATTAGAGGAAGTATGGCCATAATTCTAATATGTCTTTTCCACAGGAATTCTTTTGGGGAAATATTTTCATTTCATTGAAACAGGAAAAGCATACAAATCTGAGAGGATACAAGATGAGAAAGTTAGGCTACTCTAGAGAATTATTTAAAAAAAAAAATAGAAGAGGGCCTCCCTGGTGGCGCAAGGGGTTAGGCACAGCACTGTGAAGCACGAGTTCCATCCCCAGCCAGCCAGGGAGCTACCCACACGGCACAGCAGACCTCTCCTGTCTCCCTGCTGCTCCCCTCAGCAGTGTATTTCAGTCAGTCTGCCTGTTCTGTTCCCCACTCTGCCTCTGGTGAATCCTCTCACCCCCCCCCCTCACCTCAGGACTGTATCCCAGTTCTTGTATACATAAATAAATAAATCTTTAAAAAAATAAATAAATCACAATAGAAGAGTTATATTTAGCATAAAACGCAATTTTATCACTATTTTTCTTAGAGTTTTACAGAGATGATGGTCATCAAATAAAAGATATAAATATATGTATACACCTTTTTAGGGCTTTTTTTTTTTTTTTTTTTCTTTTTTTTTTTTTTAATAAATTTTATTGTTATATTCCCCATACAATTGCAGCCCCCCCATTCTGACCCCAATCCCTCCCCTCCCACCCCCGCCCCCCTAAAAGTGTCTCTGGTTCATAGTTTTTTGTTGATTTTGATTTTCACTTTCTTGTAGTTATTCATTTTCCTGGTCCCTTATTTAAGTTTTCTAGATTCCTGCTATGAGTGAGACCATCCGGTATTTTTCTTTTTCTTTTTGGCTTATTTCGCTGAGCATGATCCCTTCCAGCGCCATCCATGTTGCTGCAAATTGCATGTGTTTATCTTTTTTGAATGCTGAGTAATATTCCATGGTATATATGTACCACATCTTCTTGATCCAGTCATCTATTTTTGGGCATTTGGGTTGTTTTTATGGCTGTCTCAGAGCTGAAATACACACTCTTATATACACTCACTCCCAAAATGTTACTAAGTCAATTGTTTTTACTAAAATTCCTTCTAGCTCCCAAAGTCCAAGGCTGTAACTATTGGAACAATTTAATAATAAAAATAATTCACATTTTTAAATGTTAGAATTAACTAGCAGTCATTTTTTCGCAGTTAGAAAGATATGGCTAAAATTGACCCTGGTCAAGAAGTAGCACATAATTATTAACTTTTTCCTCAAAATATCAGGGACATAAAAATAGTTGTTTCAGCAAACATTTATTACAGATGTACTTGCAAACAAGAAACGCCCACCAGTGACAAGAAGTAATTAGGACAGAGTCAACAATAGCCAGATCACATTTAAGAAGTGACTAGTTCAGCTGTAATATAGATATTAGTATTCTAATGACTTCGACATTTAGTGAAATATATAATACAAATTTATTTTAAAGCCATGTTTTACTAATAAAATGAGGAATTTCTGTTTTCCAAACAAAATATTCTGTTGTCAACACCTTGGAATGGCAAGTGGCTTAATATATAGGTAAAGCTAAGCAAGAAATGGAAAAAAAATCAAAATTTTAATTATGCCTTTTTTTCAGAGATGGTTATTGTTCTTGGCTTGGGTGTAACTTTAAAATTATAAAATAAATCCATCATTTTTTTATTCTTATATCCAGCTCACTACTCTAGTGTCATAGTTGGCACAAATAAGCTACAAAATAAAGAAACATTGTGGAAAGAAACAGCAAAAGAAAACAAATACTATTTCTCAAAGCTCATTATTTTAAAAAAATAAAATAAAGACACTGTATTTTCCCCTGGAAGGGGGGTGTAGTTCATCTTTCTTCCTGTGAAGGAATCAGTCGAAATGAGAACATTAAGTGTTTATATGACTGTGTATCCATGTTGCTCTCTGACATAAGACCCTCACTACCACACACTGGCACTCTGTCCTCACCAAAGCTCTTCCTTGTTTTCACCTGTTTGACTTCTCCCAAACATAGATTTTACTTCTGAGTCTTTCTTATTTTGGATCCACTAGAGCTTCTTGGGCTTTTATATTTGTGCTGAAGAAATTCCTACTGGAGGTCGTTGGCCATCACAGCAAATGCCAAATGCCAAATTTTTAATGTACACACTGCCCACCACTATTGCTCTCTAGTAAATATTTTTAATGTCATGTGACTTTGCTGCCCTCCTGTGGCTGCTCCTTGGGGTGCCCAGATGGTGGCTGAAGCTCTGTAGGATCCTGTGACCCTTCACAGGGTCACCCCACTCTTCTAGATTCACTGTTCTTGGCCACTCACACACAAAATACCTCCCATCTCATACCAACCAATGGCCTGAATGAATAAATTTTCTACCAAAGAGTTCTGAACATTACTCCAATTTCGCCCAAGTATCTACAAGCAATGGGACAGGACTACACCCACTTTCCAAATAATTAATGCATTTTTCCTTTGAGTTTCCAGTTTCCAACTCTCTAGGATAAGAACTTTCTGATACAAGCACACCTCAGAGATATTTCAGAATTGTCTCCAGATCACCACAATCAAACAATATCTCAATAAAGCAAGTCACATGAATATTTTGGTTTCCCAACCTTAGAAAATTTATGTATATCCTGTCCTGAGGTCCATTAACAGTGGGAAGTTGTTAAAATAAGACAGCAGGAAGGTTGCTGCATCAATTCACTTTTCCTTTACCTTGAACTCTTACAGGCCATTGTAGGCTTAGTTATTGGTCTAATTTCAATATTGTTGGACCCTAGGGGAAGGTTTGAGGAAAGAGAGATGGGGGTGCAGTGGGGGATTACCAGTCAATGCACAAAGTACACACAGTTACCAATTGAGTTCACTGTCTTACATGGGTGTCATCCATGGCATCCTGAGCAAGGACAACAGCAGCATCTAAGATCAAAAGAGCAATGATCACCATAACAGATAAAGTAATGATGAAAATGTCTGAAATTTTGCAAGAATTACCAACACATGACAAAGAAACGAAATCAGAACACACAATTGAAAACATGGCACTCACAGTTTGCTCAATGTAGGGTGGTCAAACCTCCACAAGTATGAGGGATGCCTAGATTCTGGTTCAGGGAGCAACAAACTCCTACTGTAAAGGGGCAGCTAGTAAATACTTGAGACTCCCCCTCACCCCCATACAGTGTGTTACAAAGACTCAATTCTGCCCTTGTAACACCAAAGCAGCCAGAGACGACATGTTGAGTGAACCTGGCAACATCTCATTGAAACTTACTTCTGGGAAAGTGGGCAGTGAGGATGCCCGAGGATGTAATTGACCAACACCTATTTGACAGTTATTTCCTATTAATATTGAAATATATTTATGTTAATAGATTTAAAAGTTATGAATATGCTTATAGGAATCCAAATATCCCAAATATCCCACTTGTAAATATCACAACCATAATTGAATTTATTAAAATATTGACACTGGGTAGGCAAAATTCTGTCCTTCACTGCAATCTTCTTTAAATTGCTATATGACTGCTACAAATAGCTAGCAAGCAATCCATTACAGTTGATCAATATGCATCAATGTTTTGGAAAAGAGTAGAGAGAAGTTTCTGTACTCACCAAAGAGTACAAAGTAGAATACTTTGTCATAAAACATTGTTAATGCCCCACATTCAATTAGCTTCCAGGTACTGCTGATTGTTTTCTAAATATCCAATCTGGCACAATCTTTAGTTCACATTTCTAGATGAGTTTCATATTACTGGAAAATATCTTCAAGTATATTTTTCTGTTCTGCTTCTTGTTTTACATTTTTATATCATCATAGAAATCATTGCCCAAATGACCAATCTAGATCATTCAGATCTGACTTCATCTCCCCTTCATGCAGCAACTTCTTGGTAACCAAGTCTAAGTCCTCAGCATGGCACAAAAGCTGTTCATATTCAGCTTCTGTTTTCTCTTGTACGGCTCCCTTGGCACCAGAGAAGTTTCTCTCCATGCTCCCCTGCTCTAATGACATGGAGGTCCTCATGATTCCCGATTCCACCATGTCCTGTCTCCAACCACTTTTCCTAGATGGCCTGATCTCCACCCCACTTCCCTGTCAGCTCATTTTTCTTCCCATCCACTCAGCCATCTTCTTCCTTTTATGAATATTCATTCAACCCATATGGAATGATGACATTCCTAGCACTACACGCTCAGTCTCTCCTGAATTCCATCCTCTATCCCGATCATTTTACCTATTTTCCCAGAACATTTTGTGTGTGATCCTGTTAGCATTTGTGTCACACTCTACAGTAACTTTTTCCCCCCAGCCTCTGTGTTTCACACATTAGACTATAAACTCCCGAAAGGCAGAAGTGAACCACACTAATCTTCATATTCCTAGCAGCGTGAATTTTTACATATGGTCAGTCAATAAGCATGGAGGAAATAAATGAGCAAGCGAGTAAATGAATAATGAATGGCTTCCATGGTCTCTGATGAGCAGGATGTGTTAGACTCTGTTTAATGTTACCCAAAAGATAAGTTGCTTTGCTGGCATTAGGCAATCATCGTAAAAGAAACCAGTGTTTCTTCTCAGGCCCTACTTCCCAGAATGGACATGCAGAGAACTATCTCCTTAGCTAGTGAAGTATTAAAAGAAAAATGGATACTCTCAATGCTTTAGACTTCAATTAAGTAACAGCTCCCCCTGTCGACAACGGAATAAGTAGGGTCCTCAAATCGGCCTCGATACTGCCTCCTTGTAAGCCAAGTTGGTAAGATCTCTAAGTAAAATGACCCAAGGAACAGGCAGTCTGCTAGACTTCACATGCCCAAGCCAGAGGTTAGGGTCAGGCTGGCTATACTAACAAAGCAGCCCGTCCTCACCCAAGGACAAAAGCAGCTGTAATTTTACAGCAGAGAAGCATTTGCAGCTCCCCCTTCCAACAAGTCTTTAAAAATGCTGATCTGAAAGACTGAAGCAACCCACTGGAGACTCATTTTCAGTATGGCAAAAGTTCTGAAACCCAGACTGCAAAATCTCAGGAAGCAGCTGGGTTCCTAATTAAAACAAATCGTTAATAGATTTAGCAGTCCAAATTTATGCTTTTCAATTAAAAATGCTATTGCAGTTGGTGTGTCTGAGCAAGAATATATGTGTGTGTGTGCGTGTGTGTGTGTGTGTGCAAACAAACATACTTAGGCTCTGGGCTGGGGTATTCCAGATTTGAAGACCCAGTTATGAAGACTGGGTCAATGTCGAAATATAAAGGTTAATTGTATTGGTTCTTAATTGTTTTGGTGACTTCCTTGAGTCTCCTACCACACTGTAGTAATGGTTGTGTATGGACAAATAGGACTTTTCTATCACAATTCTATGAAGGTGACAATTTTCAGCTGCTTTGTGAATGTTGGCTACCTTTTAAGATGTTATTTTCTGTTTTCTAGGAAGCAGACATTTTGAGGTACTTCTTTTTTTCTCTTAAGTTCTCCCAGCAAGTCAGTAGAAAAGATTCTATTCCCAGTGGCCAGTTATATATGCATGTTAGCAGGATGCCATGAGTCTGGATGACAAATCAAATTTTGTCAATGACAGGGACATCCTGTTCCTGGCCATGGGCTATCAGAAAATGTACTAAGCAATAATTTATGGTGCCCATAAGCAGAACAATTAATTCCCTCTTTACCTGGAGGATGAGTCAATTCATCTTTATTCCATCCAACAATTGCACTACTTACTTATCTAAGAGCTCAGGATAGAGAAGGTGCCCGGGGACCAGCTTACAGGAAAAGGCACCTCCCAGCCTCAGTTTAGTAGAAATCACTCACCCCCTTCACCACACCCAAAGGTGCTCTGGATTACAGTGACATCATATTGCACATTGTTCTTCAACTAAAATAAGTATTTATAGAAACAAGGTGATAGAAAATACATAAAACTCTTTGCAAAAGAGGAAAGATTGATAGGTTGGAATCCAAAAGAAGGCAACATAAATTCTGGATCTGCATAGATGCTATGGAATTGTGGACTCCAGTTTATTAAACTTTTAAAGTCCAAAAGCTTTTAAGCTATAAAAATTTTTGGGTTATTTGGAGACTTTAAGGTAAGTTTATAAAGCACCTGGCTAAAACACTGGTATGACCCATAGTAAAGGCATCACAATGGGATGCGAAAAGTATACCGATAAATAAATTCTGGGTTAATTCTTAATTTATCTTTTCCATCTCTCTCCTCCTTAAATCTACCTTCTGTTCATTTTTATCCTCTAATAACATTCCTGTTATTTTGCATTTATTTTTCAAGTACTAGCTCAAGCTTCTCATTCAGATTCCCGATGAACACTGGTTGAAAGGGAAACTTCATCATATGAGCTAGGTTCCATGTGGGTATGAATCTCTCACAGTTCCATGCAAAATCATGTGTGGTTGTGTGTGTGTGTGCATGCAGATCCATGGGTGTGGATTTAGAGTTTTCTTCTGCTTCTTAAAAGTCTCTATGGCCCACAATAAAGGTTATGAACTGCTAATCTACAGGATTTGTATCTGAAATTCTAGAAAAATATGATTCAAAAAAAGAAGTCAGGTCAAGAAATACCATAGCAAGTTATGACTATACATAGGAAGCCTGATGTGATTTGAACACAAAGCATAATGACTTATAACTGATAAGCTAATGACTGCAATCTCTACGACACACACTGAAAAGAGAGGATAGCTAAAAAGTCAACACACAAGACAAATGGAAAATTTAAAAATCTGGGACCCACTCAAAGAAGGAAGGAAAGAACAACTAACAGCCAAGACAAAAGGAAATTAAAGAAAACATATAAAAGACAGATGATTAAAAAAACATATCAATTATTACATTAAATGTGAATGGTCTTATTACTCCAATTAAAGGCAGACACCATCAGATAGGTTTTTTAAAAAAGTAAGATTCATCTACATGTTGTTTATAAGAAACACATTTAAAATACAAAAACACAGATGGGTTGAAAATAAAAAGGTGCAAATGAAAAATATACCACTCCATCAGTAAGAAAGCTAATGCAGTTATAGCAATATCAAAGATAAGAGTTAGTTATGAGAGATATAAAGAAAAGCACTTCATTGTGACAAAAGTATAAATTCATCAAGAAAACCTAACAATTCTAAATGCATATCTACCTAATAACAGCTACAAGCAGCATGAAACAGAAGTTGATACATGTAAAAGAAGAAAATGGACAAAAGCTTGGCGATTTTAACATAATTGTTAAATCCTCATTACTTAAGTTGATGGAACTATAGGAAAACAATGGCAGCCCATCAGCTTATCATCTGCTTGCATAATTTTCCATCTTTCTTATTTAAACAAGGGAAAAGGTTACCTTTTGAAAATGGGCTGTATTCAATAATTGTTACTTCTTGCAAATGTTGCTTTAAGATGTTTTAAGAAAGGGAGCCCGAAACTATGGTGTGAAAATGAGAAAAGTATATACATGTGATGTGTAAGTTGGGGGATGTCTTACTTCATTTCTCTCCCCTATTTACCTGCTGCAGTTTCCAGAGACCTCTGGCTCAGACCATTCTCTGGCCCAGGCTGTTCCTCTAGCCCTGACCATCATCCCTCTGGCCCCGACTGTCCCTCCGGCCCAGGCTGAATGTGCCCCGGCCATGGCAGTGGCTGATTGGCTCAGCTGCTTCTAGGCGCAGGTGTGTGTCTCTGTGCAGGGGCCCAGCCAGTTGTTTGCTTTACACTTGGGGTCTCCTCATGCAGGACCAGAGAGCAAATCAAGCAAGACTGTGCTTGGATCAAAGCCACCACACTCCGGGAGGAACTGAACTACCTAATTGGAGAACTATCCTGTAAATGGGCCTTTCCAACCCTCTACAGTACTCATTCTCCTCCATCTCTCTTATTCCAAACAGGCTGTCTCATTTCCCTGGAAATCATACTCAACCAAAGAAAAAGACAGAAATAATGACAGATCTTTGGGGGGGAGGTGTATAAATTTATTTGTCATATGACCTCCAATTTTGTATTAAGTTTCCGTTAAGAACACTATTCAACATTTTCACAGGAATTCTGGCTTAGGGCATATTTCTGGCCTATTAAGAAATGAACTTCCAGGCTGTTCTTCAGAAGTATGTCAGGACTACCCCTTCTTATAAAAGCAGAGGAAACTGCGATTTTGACTTGCCTGGGTTAGAATTACTCTTCCTAAAATTAGACTCCCTGTCAGGGTTTCAGGTTGGAGATGTCAAAACTCACAAACTTCTGTCCAGAAATATCTAGAACCATTTCATTTGGGCAGAATCCAGGAGCTGGTGATGGGCGGCTCATCCTATTAAATTGCCCTTCTGGGTATGCTTGGGGAAGCCAGACACTGCTTCTTTATTCTGTAAGGAAAATGACTTTGTGTCTGTATGTGTCTCTGTGTGTGTGTTTATGTGTGTGTGTGTGGTTATAAATATTTGGGGAAAGATGCATTGGACAGAGGAAAATATTCCAATGAACAATATAATCTTTGCCTATATCTCAATAAAATGGAAGGGAGCATGATCTAGCAGAATTGACTCTGGAATTAGATCTGAATTCAAATTCCACATTAATTATTTAAGAGTTGTGTGACCTCAGATCTCTGGCCCCTTTTTGAACATCCATTTCTCTAGCAGTGAAATGCAGCCTTCAAAAGCTATCCCTGCCTGGGCGGACGTATTCTGTGGATTAGAGATAATAAATGTGAGTGTCCCATGCTGCATGGTTTGTGTGCTCAACAAATAGAATCGCACCGCATCATTCATAGATCAAATTATGGTGGAGCAGCAGCCGAGCACCTAAGACAACAGAGCCTCCTTGCAAGGCCGGGAGGCAGAAGGCATATTTAACTCTTTGCTCCCACAGACTGTTGGGGTCACAGCTTTAAATAAACAAATTCAATTATTCCATAATGTAGTGGTCCAGAGCTATGAACCCCATATCCAGGGACGGTGAACACGGTAAAGGAGTTGGCATGTCAGGGACTGCTGGGGTGAGGAATGAAAACATGCACAACCAATTCCACACGGCTCTCTACCTATCAGTTCTGGGAACCCCTTCATTGTGAGCACAAACCACAAAACCAGCCTGAAAGAGGCGGGGTGGGGTAGAGAGAGGGATTCTGAGATTCTCCTGCTGACTCCGGAGGTCACGTGGCTCTGACACATAACTTTTACCGAGTTGACTATATCTCACTTCCTGTAAGTGCCTGTCCCTCATGCTCACTTTCAAGGACTTGGCCAATCTCCTTTTGTAAATAGAACAATGCTTTATATTTCTCTATTACTCTGGAGTGACTATATCAATAATGCAGGAAACGCATCTGTCCAGCACAATGAGATTATTTTTCTGATTTCGGTTGACAGTTATGGTAATAGTTTGGCAAACAATCTACTCCACCATCAATGACCGCAGATTACAGCTGTTTTTAAAAATCTCAGCCGCTTCTGGAAACTGGGAAGATGAATTGCACCTGGAGAGGAAGATGGAAAGACACGCCATAATCCTTTAGGGGAGAAAAATTCTTAACTCTTTCTGTACAGAGAAAACTAAGGAAATGTTTGGGCAAGTGCAGTGTTATCTGTGGGTGCACGATAATGAGAATAAGGTGAGAAATGACACTGCTGAGGCTGGGAAGACAGTCAGATGTGGCCAAAGGGTCACAGGAAGGAGGCAAGATGGAAATATTTCAGAGAGCTGCTTTTTCTATTGATACATTCCCCAAGTCGGCCAGGAGTTATTGCAAATATTTACAGGGGAGACAATTGAGCAAGAGCATTATCATCTCTTCCATATTGATCTTGATGAACAGGAACAGTGGCTTGAGAAGCATCATGAGCCAGGCCTAGGATTTTCACTTTTATAAAAAAATAAATAACTTTACCTCTAGAGCAACGATGATGAAGACTTTTATAAAAGAAAAAAATTCTATTTCTAGAGCAATGATGATAAAGATGCTGAATTACTTTTTAAATTCAAACTTCTTAAGTCTTAACAAAACATGCTTTTTTTCCCAACAACTCTGGAATAAACCTTATTTTCATGAGCCTTATTTTCTCCTTTGGGGTGTTTTACTTTACTTACACTTCCTAGGAAGCAGAATGCTGATTGAGCTGGTGGCAGGCGACCCTGGCCTCGGGCCAGGCATTGTTCCCAAGGCTGGGAGACAGAGCTGCAGCTGCCTGGGTCTCCTGACTATCCCCAGGTGCGAGATTTCTTCCCCTCTGAGTTCCAAGGTGAAGCCCTGGAAAAAGCAAGAAAGGGCGCCATGGGCCTGTGTGGAGTCCTCGGCCCAGGTGAGTTCATTTTTCTTGTGAACTTTTCACCTCGGCCCCAATTAGTATCCTATTAACCTCCTTAAATATGGAATTGCTAAGATCTTAGAATACTCCAAAATGGACTATTAGCCAGCCCATTTCCTGGCTCCATCAGATGAAAATGCCAAAGTAGGTCATACAACAGAATTACCTTGATTAATTTCAGCTCTCTCCCCTGGGGCATGATGTCATGCAAGTTAAAGGAGATTCAAATTTGATGCATCATTTCAATGACTGATTAAATATGGGATTTTTCTTTTTTTTTTTTTTTAAGCATTTACCATCCAGGGTTTATAAGGATTTTCCTTTTCAATACGACAAACATTTCACTTGCTAAACTGATCAATTATACAAATGGTGACTTCCCTTGAATGCAATTTTTAATGTGCTTGTTCTCTGAAACCTAATATGGAAAAAGGTTTATTTTCCCCAGAAACTGCCATGTAAGATCTGAAGCTCTCAGTGCTATGCCACATCCCTACCCATAGATGCAGGATGGTTTTCTATTTTTTAAAAAAAATTATTTACTTATGCATACAAGAGCTGGGGTGCAGGCCAGAGAAGGGCGGGTGGTAAGAGGATTCACCAGAGACAGAGTGCAGATTGGGGGGCAGAACAGGCAGACTGACTGAAATACACTGCTGAGGGGAGCAGCGGGCAAGACAGGAGAGGTCTGCTGCGCCATGTTGGTAGCTCCCTGGCTGGGGATCAAACTCTTGCGACAGTGGCCGTATATAGCTTAATAGCTGTACTTTAAACCCTGGCGCCCCCCAGTGACTCCCCAGGCAAGATGGTTTTCAAACACACTGTGAAGACCCTCTCCCACATGGGAGCCTCCTCAGAATGGGATTTGTAAATATAGATGTTTTTGCTAGAACTAAGCAAAGTGACAAACTTTGCATCCTTTATCTTACATTCCTAAAGGTCTGCCTTAAGGAGGTACTTAAAATAGAAACTGAGTTTTAACATTTCCAGTATCCCTGCATCTTTACAATAGGCAGATTACATTTATTTTCATGTCAAAAGCAGCTTTAGACGCATATTAGCAATTTCAAAAACTGTAACCCAAAACGTGGCCCACCACATTTCTAAATTTTATCACAAGTAGAGTCATTCTGAGACTCTTCCATAAAATATCCACTATAGCTACTTATTAAAAAAAAAAAAAAAACAAACAAAAAAAACTTGTTATTTTACTTTAGAAGGAACAAGTCCTTGGAGGCATCAGGTATGTTACAAAATCAGGGGTTTCGTGTCTTTGGTGTTTGTGAGTGACCCCAGCATGCAGTCTCATGTCTATAAACATGGCCCGGGTTCCACACTCAGCAGCCCTCTAAAATACAGACTGGCTTCCTCATTTCAAATAGGAAACTTATTTTAAAGATTTGTTTTTATTTATTTATTGGTATAAATTTACTTATTTGTGCATATAAGAACTGGGGTGCAGCCACAAGTGCAGGGGGTAAGAGGATTCACCAGAGACAGAGCGGGGAGCAGAACAGGCAGATCCACTGAAATACACTGCTGAGGGGAGCAGCGGGCGAGACGGGAGAGGCCTGCTATGCCCTGTAGGTCAGCTCCCTGGCCAGGATCAAACTCAGGCCGCAGTGGCTGCTGATAGCTTCATAGCACTGAGATCTTAATAACCCTTGCGCTACCAGGGAGGCCCACAACTAGGAAATTTTTAAAGCACATCATCTTTTTATGGCCAAGCATTTCTCCCTGCAACCGCCTGTGATGTGGATTCATTTTTGCAATTTCATTAACAAGTCACATGTGCTCATCCACTTGCCCTTAGAGGAATCACGAACCTTCAAAGCCCATTCTAGCTCATGGCTTCAAGGGCTCCCCCTCAGCCAAGGTGGCCTGGGAGACATCTGAGAGCAAGGACTGCTCTGTGACCCTGTGGTCTGTCAAGTTCAGGACCCCAGAGTGCTCACTTCCAGAAGCAGGAAGTGTACACCTAGGACTCAAACCAAATGCACTAGCTACAATGTAAATTGATCGAGGGGTATCCAATTTATAATAATAAAAGCTTGCAATTCAATTGGTGCACAAGGGGAAAGGTTACAAAACTTTGGCAAAGCTGGGGGGGAGCTGTAAACAGAGTGGGTAGCACCTTGCCTGGGAAGTTCCCTGGCAGGGTAGGGAGTCGCTGTTTCTTGGCCCAGTGTGCCCAGCAGTGTCCACCACGTCCTGCGGAAGCCTTCAGCTCTGTGGGTGTGGGGTTCCTACATCTCGAATGGTTTCAACTTGGTTCCTGTGTTTATACTGCTTTTCAGAAGCACAATTAGAGGCAGACAGAAGGATACCCCAAGACCCCCAAACCTGCACAGTCTAAAGAGGTTCTGCCACCTACTGCATGCAGATAAAACAGACTCATAAGGTGAAAGGACTTTAGTAGGATCATGCATATAGAGAAAGAAGAGAAGGAATAAAACACCCAAAGTTACCCACCCCCTCCCCTCATGGGTAAGTGCCCAGTCAATCAGGGTTGGCCCAAAGCGAGGCTGCTGCGGCCTGAAAACTTGCCCCAAGTCTAAGGAACCTTCTGGTGAGGACCCATAGGAAAGGGGCAGAAGGGGCCAGGCATGTCTGTGACTAAAGGAGCAAAATCAGAGTACAAATCAACTTAAGGCTGCCATTGTCACCTCCCCACAGGTCTCACCCACATCTCTTGCAAGTGTCCCTACATTTCTGTCCTCCACATGTCTCTTCCATGTCCCCCAAGTCCTTGATGCAAGTTCAAAGCCAAGAAGCAAGCTTGCCTTTCTTCACATATCTCAGTTTCACATGCCTCCTACAGCCTTCCTCCAAGTCTTCCCTCTGTTTCTCCACCCTGCTCAGCGCCAGCCTAATTAAGCCAGGAAGATGCATTCGCTCCTTTGTATGGAGATTACACTGTTACAGCTTCTTATCGGGACTCCTGTCAATTTTTATTTCCCGGACTGCTCTGCATGGGCAGGTTTTTCTCTCTCCTGGCATTGCCCACTTGTCATTGATTCCTGAACAAGTGGTAGCTCTTTAAATGACGACTTGAATCGCTTTATCTCAGTTGCCCCCATTTTCCCATCAATCAGGGTCATTCCAGTGTCAATACATATAATATCTTGATGAGTCAGATTCATGACAATATCAATGTCAGCGGCATCCTGGTTATCTCTCTCCCTCCCCCCCATCACACCCCCCAGTCAGGCCACTAAGAAAGCAGGATGAGATGCTGCCTTTTAGAAACTACCAGTAAATAAGTGACTTTTCACCTTCAAGGAACTGAGAGCCGCACACAGATATTTATACTCTGGAGCCACAAGTTCCGTGATGCTCATAAGGGTGATGGAGCTCAGAACCCCACTTCCCTACTCTCTGAGATTTGCAACTGAGGGGCTTAGATTTCTGGGACCTGGGTGGCCAGGCAGCCTTACCTGTCTGCAGAGAAAGTCTGCCCTCCTAACAGCAGAGCTCTGACGCTGGTGGCCTCCTCAGCTGACCTAGTTAGCAATTTGATACAAGTTCCGGGCATTACACTCTGCCATCAGAAAATTAATGTGGCTCAGTGACAGTAGTTAGAAGATCGTGATACTGCAGGACATTTTGTCATTTCTTTCTCCATGTGGCCATTTATGGAAATCCCTCTAGGTCATTTATACGTATTCTCAATACCTTAAGCAATATGCATTTTCTAAGCAGTTGTGACCTGTGACTCTGTTAACAAAAAGGAAGAAATTTGAACTGAGAGGTTAAAAAATCACATAGGGAATGGGCAGGTGGGGGGGACGGGTAAAACAGGTAAAAGGGGTCAATTTTCTGGAGGTGGATAGAAATTAGGCTTTTGGTGGAGATCATGGTGTGCTAAGCAGACGTCAAGCTGTAATGCTGTTTACCTGCTCGATAGATGTAGTTACAAGCCATTGTTACTTCAATAAAAAATTAAAATGAAATAAAAATAAAACAAACCACATTGGGTCTTTCTGTCCTATCCCTCATTTATATTGTGGTGATTATTTATAATTATAGAAGAAATACATGTCGGTCTTCAAATACATGAAATAAAAAATTCAGTTAGTCTGTCGCACTGGCCACATTCCAAGCAGTCCCTGTCATGAACAGCTGTATTAGACAGCACTAAGATGTCTTTTTACCTCCAAACCACAAATCCCATTCCCTTTCCTGTTGAAAGCGCCAATTAAGGTTTAGAGCAGATTCTTGCTTTGCTTTCCTAGGCATTTACAAAAATACTCTATTTGATCTTATTATGCATTTTGGTCAGTAGCTTGAGATTTTCTCTGCAAAAGAGTATCTCAGACACCTTTTCATTACAGATCCTGTAGATTTATGACATTCTTTAAACAGCTGTGTGGTATCAGAGTACAGAGATACATGCTATTCTTGAACATTCCTCTCTTGATGGGTATTTAGCTCGCCTTCAATTTTGCGCTATTTTATCAATGATGAAATGGACATTCTCATTCAGATATCTATGGGAAAGTTTATGTTTATACTCTGGAGGCACGAGTTCCATGATGTTCATAAGGGTGTTCATAAATTTTTCATGTTCATAAGTTTTCTGTGGGAAAGATCCTTACAAGTGGGTTCTGTTTAAGCCCCAACTTGTCCCTTCTCTCTGTCTCATGCAGTGTCTAGAGTGTCTGGTGATAGAATCAAGACCTTACAAGCCTCAAGTGTGCTTCCAAGTGGGTCAACATTAACAGCAGTTTAAGCCATTTGCCCCTCCCTGGGATAAGGTTAACATCAGTGTGGGGCTCTGTTTCTAAGCAAATTATTTCCCCAAGTTTGAACCTTTCTCTGCTAGCTCGGATCTGATGACGTTCATCCATTTCAGGGGTAGGATTCATGGGGAGGAGTAAAAGAGAAAATGAACAAAAGAAAATAAGCAAAAGAACACTCACGGAAAGAGCCTTTCCAAGAA